GAACAAACAGGGAACTTTGTTGTTATAAAATGCAAATTTAATATCTCTTAACAATTATGCGCATTTTAAGGATGAGTCAGCGAATAAAATGTGAACGTCAGAGGGTTGCCATTGGAGAGGGAATTAACTTTATGGTCATGAAAAACGTATATCATATAATTCCACTAAAAATCTGGTCAAGTATCAAAGATGCTCTCCAGACTACTGGAGAGGATCCAGAAACTCACTTAAGAGGAAACTTGATTGCTATTGTTTAGCTAATGAAGGAATTAATAGCGCTTATTACATGCAATTTTCTGATCACATTTTGAGGTATAATATTGAATTGTAAGCACGCAGCATGCAGAAAAACAATTAATTTCCTGTCGTCTGCTTTTAAGGCGGTTAAATGGTAAAATGTTTGGCGGCGCTCACTGCAGTGAACAGGGGAATATTTTCTTAGGTTGCCCAGGGTTGATTTAAGGTCATTGGGGAATGTAACCGAAGTCACAGTCCTTTTATCGCCTTGACATTCGCCCTAATCACCATTTTTAAACTCAATAATAGTGAGTGACTCCTCTTGTTTAAAGATGTGTGATTTTGAGCCTACAAGGCGTTAATGAAGGAAAATTCAAATCTGAAATCTGAATAGACCGCTTTTGTGTTCTAATGTGGCAATGTTACATAAACCAACCATAAATTAAGTAAGGTGTCCAACAGCGCTCATATAATTGCCGCAACAAGTACAGGATTCTCGCCAAGAATCACGGGAATCAATGCGCGCCAGGCACGTGATGAAGATGGCTGACTTAGAATAAAATTTTTTTTGAACGAGCAGTCAAAAAAAACCTGTTTCCATCTTTTTCTTCTTTGCGAATATCAAAGATTATTAAGGTGCGACCAATAAAGAGATAACGTGATAAAAATACATAATTCTACGTGGGTTATCTGCACTTTTTGCAAGAACCCCGATGATAGATTGACCCAAGGAGGCAAACCTTCACTGAATTGATCTCTCAAATGGTCGATGGAAAACATGTTTACTATTTGCGATTCGTGAGTGACTCGCTTGATTCGTCCAAATATAAAAAGTTTGGAGATTTCTTTATCAGCATAGAAACGGAACTTCAAGGCTCATCCGGCTTGCAGTTAAGGCTAATTGATTATTCTACTATTTTGGACTGTCCAGACAGTAAGTGATCTCCGAAAAATGAATGGAAAACGAACCCGTTAAAAGGATATCAGCCAAGTCCTGAAAGTTCTCGAAAGATTTTTAAAAAAATGATGTCTGAGGTGGTTATTGGAAAGTTAGAGATCTAATTAATAACATAAAGGCTCCAAATTTAATTTTGAAGCTTCTAGATCGTTTAAAATATTTCACAGATACAAAGTAAACAAAAGGTCGCTGATACATGTTTTCAAGAGGAAACGAGCTGTGCGCGTATCCGTCAGTGCAAACTGAATACGGAAAATGCATATCTAAAAGAGAGAAAAAGGAATTCGTCAGATAGAAAAACTAGGTGATACGGTTTTTTAATCAAAATACCCGCAAATACTTACAGATATTTCTGTTCCTCTGATGCGGAGTAGTACAACGCTTGTTCGTGCCTTGAGGGAAAGATTGTTACTTATACCAAGAACAGGGAGCAATCCATTCTTTACACTCACCATTAGAAAAATTAATAATACATAACCAGCTAATGCATTTCTTTTCAGTTCAAATCAAGATTTTGTTAAGACTAAAAATAACGTCAAAACAAAATCAATTTATTGGAGTGGGTGGTATAGTTTGCATTGACAAACCACCTTAGAGCAATAAGGATTTGAACCGGATACGCAATCAGATTGTCAAAACATCTGGGTCCAGTTGTTCAAAGGGGGGGGGGTAGGGGTATCCAACGGATAAATCTCTATCCAGTGGATAAGTGTAAACAAAACCTACTGTACACTATTCACCGGATTCAGATTTATTAGTCATTTAAAGAAAAAACAGCATATAGAAACATATTCAGAAACAGTTCCTCAAATCACTTCACTACTAACCAAACAGGTGCAGCAACAACAGGCGTAGTGAACACGAATCATGTAGCTCTGTAAAGATATCCTCTTTAGTTTTAGGTTATGATGCTCAATGAATTGTCCCCATAAGACAAGGATGTTTGTTTCTCTAACACACAATTCAGTGACGAATCAGCAAATCAACAATCATTTCTTTCCTCGATGTTTCGTGATCGTACTTAAAGGTTCTCAGCAAGTTTTCTTTTTCCATTGACGAGCACTTTAACCTTTGTCCTTTCTTAATCTCAGCAGCCAGTCTCCAACGCAAACATTCTTTCATCTGTCAATCAATCCCTTTTCACGTGCCGGAGATGAGACTAAAGAATCTGCTATGTTCTGAAACTTCACGTTTTAATTTATAAAATCAACTTGATCTCCCTATCTCTCTCTCACCGTTCTCTGTCTCACGCTCTGGTCTTTCTCATTTTAGATATCTAATATGATCCTATCGTTCAATCATCTGTCACTTATGGCAAAAAAATCAGCCGGAAATCAATTAACGCTGAATAATCTCTCACATACGAGAAGCACAAACTGAAAACTTGAAAGAAGAGGTCACAAGATAATAATAGCAGCATTAATGTATACAGCAGGATGTGCATTCATGTTACGTTTACAGCCAATATTTGTTCAAAGAACGCAGCTCATCTATGTTATCTGAATTAATATTTTTGTTATTCTGTAAAATGAACGCTGTGACATTACACTGTCGGTTTTCAATCTCTAATGTTGTTTTACCATCAAGTGTCCCCCATAGCAGTCTTTTCCGTTTCCTTGCGGCTAAGCGGGCGACACGCAAAAAAATACACCGCATACGGTACGGGAGAACAACAGTTAGGAGCGCACACTTCTTCCGTTTGGAAAAAGAAAACTGACAAAGCTTACTACCCCGATGTAACCTTAACATGCCGGATAAAAAAGGCCATGTGATAATGGATGGTCACACGCGGCGTGATAATTAAAAACGGAAACAGACGGTACACTCCGGAAATTCGACTTAGTCCCCTCAGCAGTGCCATCCGGCAATTCAACCTATGACAGTACTCGACCCAGCGGGAATCTCTGATTGTAACAAAGAAACATGAGAACCTCAAATACATTTTAATACCGTATATGAGATTTCTCCTGTTATAATTTTAAACGTTAGTGTTCCTGTATCGAGGAACTCGAGCCCCTTCATTTGAAAACGGAATTCGACTAAGTTGTCGTTGCCATTGTTTTAAAAATTTGACTTCCGGTTCCTTTAAAAACAGGAAGGTAGAATGTTGGACAGTTAATCTTACCAAGAAGGGCCTGGAAACCACGGATTTGTATTGCGGAAGAAGCAAACTAAATAATTATTGTACGGAGAAAAATATAATTGATGAGATTAGTTTTCGTGAGGTCGAGGAAATAGGACAAATGAAAGGAACAATTAGAATTTGACTACTGCCTTAAACGGCCATCTTAACTGATAGCGCAAACCCTTAAGACAAGACGACAACGGTAATAAGAAGGTAGTGCAAGGCAAAATTTAGTGAGCAGAACAGTAGCTTAGCTCACGCAGTCTCAAATTTTGTGTAGACCCTAATCAGGCCTTCGCCGATCCGTAAAACGAAAACGCGAAATCATCAAAATGTGAGTGGTACGAGAACGGGAACCTCAAAGGCCAGTAATATTCGTTTCCATTCGGAACTCGACGCTGTTCACACAAGTTATACTGAAGCTAAGGTCTGGCTTCCTTAGGAACGGTAAAAGCATCCAGCCATTTGAAAAATTTTTAGTAAAAAATATACCTATTTGATAAGCGAAGTTTTTCCTCACCGTTGTTGTTTTAACTGCTTAAGATTCCTCGTGTTTCAACCAATAAACACACGCATCAAATGAAGACAGGAAGTGCTTTCTTAACTATCCTTTCGGTTTCCGTTTGGATGTGAACAAAGTTCAAGTAGCGCGAGGTCATGGGGCGAAACAGAGCCAAAAAAAATTAGGAGCCGAGGGCTGGGGAGTAGTACGCAGAAGGAGTTACGTTCATCACTGCCACTCTTTCTTTGTTTTTCTTTGAAGAAAAGACCCTCTTTTAATGAGAAATTAGCCATAATCTATAAGAGTAACTAAGGACATAACTTAGGCTTAAATTCTGTTAAGAACGTTCTTATTTTTTACATAGTTTTCTTGACGAGAAGTATGAATAAACGTTATATAAATAAAAACTGTAGTATTACAGGAAGATTGACCCAGATTCTTAAGGATATCCTTTTTTAAATTTCACAACATACTGCGTATCGGAGGAAATCTCATTTTTTAGTTGAACTGAATGTATACTTGATAACACTATCAAATACTGACTTTATTGAAGAGAACTCATTCCCTTGTATCTCATTCACCTTATTATGTTATGTTTGAACGTCTTACCAAACTATCTTAGCGTTAAAGGAATTTTTTTTCAGAAAAATTATGTGACTTAATAACAATGAACTACAGAAATGAGACAACTTTTAGTGGATTCTTTGATCTGGTAAACTAATATTGATGCGAGGGCATTCAGATTCACTATCCTTACACGTTAGTATATAATAATTAACATTTTAGCTATTCATACTCCATCTACTCTAGTCTTCATGCTCTATCACACTCATTGTCCTTGATTTTTTTTTAAGTGCAGCTATAGGTTCTAACTTCAAGGGCGTAGCTGGGGGGATCCTGTGGTGCCCTTAACCCCCCCCCCCCCCTTTGTGAGCCTTTCTAAGCAACAACCAACAATATTCAGGTGACGAAATCTAATGAGTAACCTCTGTTTGACACAGTGTGACCCCCCCCCTCCCCCCCTTTGAAATATCCTGGCTACGCCCTTGAACGACCCTTTTGCTCCTCGGTGTAGCATGATTTTATAAAGTATTGCTGTTGTTGTAGCTTACTCTACTTCAACAAGTTTTAAGATATAGCAAACACGTTCTTCTTAACAACTCCACCTACTAAGGAGAAATTGTTAGTGTAGATTCGGTTGGAACTGGGTTCAAACCAGCTAGCTGTCTAATAAGTTAATAATCTTATATCAGGAGAATTTGTTGCTTTGCCCGTTAAGCGAGAATCAAGTAGCTTGCTTTTGCAGCATGGCATAAACGAGACGAGGTTCTTCCTGAACTGCTGACTATGTAGGGTGTACACAAGCGGATTTAGACAAGAATTCAGAAGTGCACTTGCTTGGGACACATAGTATACTGTGGTATAACCGCCACGAATCAAGGGGCCAAGCAGGCAAAGCACTGCAGGAGGCGTCCAGCACATGATAAAGATGGCCGACACTGAAATAAGCATCTTAGTTACCTTTCGTGACTCTGTGGTGGCTTTCTGAGAGGAGCATGGAACGAGGGTGCGGTTGCGCAGACACCAAATAATTCGTGCGTAAAGATATCCCAAGATACACATCGGGAGGAGGGAGTTGCTGGTTGACCAAGTAATTTTGTATGCACGAGCTGTTGTGTTGTCTGGAAAGTGTTGCTTGCACTGCTGATTTTGTGAATCGTAGCTTGTTACAACAATGGAGGGCATTAGCAACAGAATTGCAGAAACCCATGCAACTGGCACCCACCACGATGATCGACCACTTCGCTTCTTTTTCAACGGGTGTAAGGTGGCACTATACCGTTCCGTTGCTATGACAACCAACAGAAAGCTCGAAGTGGTAGCCGCTATCCAACCCAGGGACCCACTGGAAAAAAACTTGCACAGTACATTTCCAATAACTCCGCCCGGTAGTTCAATGAAGTGGCTCAGGATGCATGGATGAATGAATAATACCGCGACCAGTAAATCAGCAACCGCCAGATGGAAAAGAAGCCAGTTGATCGAGGTTTTCATTACTTTCCTTTTCAAAATTACCAAGCAAAAAGAGTTCCCTGCTATGTTAAAAATTATCATGATGGACAGGAAAACTGCGTAAACTAGAGAAGCGATCCCTGTTATCATTATGAAAGCGAAACTCTTCTTTGGAGAGCCGATGCGTATCTGTTAATTTAAATTGAAGAACAAAACTATTATTAATTTTTGCTAAAGCAGACGATCCTGTGATGATAAATGTATTTGCCCGTTTCATTCACGTCCTGTCAAAAATGACATTTCAGATAATTTCAGACGGAAATACCAGATTATTAGAGTAGTTGTGCAAAAAAAAAGCAGAACACAAAAATAACAAAGAAAAGGAAATGACAAAGAGGTTTACAGAAGCTATTGAATCGTCTGTAAAAAATAAGTTTGCTGTAAATATGACATTTTTTAAAAATTATTCGTTTTTTGTCGAATCCATTTCAGGATAAGAATGTCAACAAAGCGAAATTGAACAGTGCTAATATTTTCAGCAAACGTTCATCTTGATGTATCTATCTACTTAGGATCAACTTAGGTGTCTGTGGTAAGGACAGAAATGGCTTATTCAACATCAAAGGTTTCTGTCCATGATATCTTATCCATAATATTAGCTTAAGAAAAGCCCTAATGTTTCCATATCGTTACATGATGGTTTCTGTTGTCCAAGTTTTAACGCCCATATTTTAGAAGCAGTCAAACTTTGAGTCTGCAATTAAGGGAGCCCTTGGTAAGCTTAATTACTCTAAGCAATTTTTAGCTTCTTTTGTTTAACCGATGAGATTTGATCAAGCACGATGGCGAAAAAAGGGAAAGAATGAGTTTGACATTGGGAGAGAGATAACTGGGAAAACACCTCCGGAAAATAAAAAGCACCTTTAAAAATTATAACGAAATCGTTTTTCCCAATTGTTGATAAATGTGTTTGATCTTGGAAGCGAAAATCGGACTAGTTTCCGAACCATTTACACAAGTTTACCAAATCCATCGTAAATTGTAAAACGCTCTGTTTTGAAGAAAGAGAAGTCAGAGCAAAAAAGGAACAAGCTTGCGGCTTTAAATGAAAATTTCCACAAAATATTAATCTTTCGTCCTGAGATCATACTTTTTAAAAAAAAAGACAGCTTCGTTGGGGAGAACGGTTGTAAATAAAGGGAAAAAAACAGAATGTGAACTATGATATCTGCTCTCCAACATTGCGTCTCTTTTACCTTAATTTGAAGTTTGTTTGGGTAAAAAAATTTCCATGACAAACATAGATCGCTAAAACAGTGCCCAGATGAAAGGGTTTTTTTTTAATCTCCCTGTACAATTGAGATGAACACATTAAGCCGGATCTTGTAAATTACACAGCCAACCTTCAAATTTCTCAGTACCGAGGGTAGGATTTTGAGAGTTCCCAATTGCAATTTTTCTGATTTCGTCAAGTTTGAAATTTATTCGAAAAATAAAAAAAGATTTTTTGGCTTCAGTTTGAATAATCAGTGAGTGAAGTCGTTCGTTGGATATGAATTACTAAATGTTTCTGCTTCGATCGGATATAGCTAATATGTGACAACAAAAAATACTAACTGCCGCAGGCAAATATGTGCTGGTTATGTTTCAGATAAAGTACAGTGGTCATACCGTCAATAGCTTTGAACTTACCTTCAGGCTTTGACAATTCTAAGGAACAAAGAAGCGCTCCATTTTAGTTTTTGCTGATTGATACAAAGTTTGCTTTCCGGCGTAATTTTATAACTCTGCCGCCAAAGTTATTTTGGCTGATATCGGTTTGATGTCTTCTTCCATACACAGAGATAAGTGATAATACAAAATAGTTTTCGTGATGGATCAATCACTTCTCTAAATAAAACATGAACAATTGATAAGTAATAGCAAGGGAGAGTTAATACTTTGAGCGTGTTCTTGAGTGGGATTGACATTAAGGCCGTCTGAATTACAGCTAAGAAAATCATGTCGCAGTTGAGTAAACGCAACAGTAATTATTTCAATAATTGTACACGTGGGTTTGATCTAAGTTTGTAGAGTCTCTGTAATGAAGAAAATCATTCGTAGAAAATATCAGCAACAAACATTAAGTTGAAACATTGTTTATACTGGACTAACTCGATTAATATTCTAGTCACGGAAACCCAAGAGCTTTGTAGTAGCTCTCTGTTGTCCACCGAAAATTAGTCAGACATACTCAATCAACTAAAGTAAAACTGACTTGGGAAAGTGAAGAAAGGGAGCAGAATTTCTCTTAGTTACTACCCTTGAATAAAAGAAACCTAGTGATAGTTGTTTCAAAAGAGATGAAAAACACAGAAAGAAGAGAAATGGTCAAGGATATCGAAGACTTACACGAATTGCATTCGGTAATCTAAAGCAGAAATAATTTTTTCAAGTCGGTCAAAGGATACCCTCCCCCTCCCTTCCTGCTCTTAATATTTTTGGCCCCCTTTCGCTCTGTATATTCATGTGACTACCGTTCAGTGGAGGAATCTTCGCAGGCTAACAGATTCTCTACGATCAAATGTTCTTTCTGAAAATGGGTGAGGTCATTTTCCAAAATATTCTTCGATCAAAAGAGGTAGTTTACAAAGATCGACAGGAACACCACAAGTACAAGCACAAACATATTTCTAACCACTTGGAAAATTACCATATTGTGTACAAAGTTAAATGCAACTACATAGTACATGATTATAAAAAAAAGATAAACAGAGGTCTAATTTTTAAAGGAGAAATTTTGAATCTTATCATCGCTAATATAAATTCAATACACTGCAACATCATCTCTTCAACAATGTAAGACTAGATGCTGCATGGGTTAAGAAGACTAGCCTGTCTGTTTTAGTACATCAATGGAGACACAGACATCATTTTTCAGAGACAATATACTTTGACGTAATTGTCATAGTACGGCCACTGCCGTGGGACGTATTTAACTACGATATATATGTAGCTTCATTGTCAACATGCCATTTTTAACATCTGCTACTTTTTGCCCCCAACAAAAGCGAAATTTGAGGGATTAATCGAATGCAGAAAGAAATCACAAGTCAACTATCACGCATAGAAATCAAAACATATCTATTGGTCGTTCAAAACAAGATAGGCACGTGTTTTTGTTTTGTTTTGTTTTACAATCACTCAACATGAGACCATTTATTTCACTCACAACCAATCACGGAATGAAGAGCGCATAAAGTAGCCAATCAGATTGCAGCACTTGTGATGGACCCCTTAAGGATTTTTATCAATAGCTGATCGCTAATGAATAAGAGGGGGGGGGGAAGTTTCTAATGAAACTGTGGTGCTGCCTCGGTGGGAGAGTATAGCAAGGTAAGTTGGTATTGTCGACTGAATTGATAAAGTTAATTGGCCACCGTTAGGAGAAACCAATTTAGGTTATCAACTCATTTGATAATACCGAATTTCCTTGATAGCTAGTGAGCCAGCCAGGGCGCAGTATTTGCCTTAGAATGCTAGTAGAATTTTAAACAAAAGTACGTAGTGAATTTAAATAATACGGAATGTCAGTTCCGCTGAAAAGTTGTGTTACCACTGGAAATGAAGTGAACTGCGCCATATCAAGACCTTTTAACTACATAATTCATTTTTAATTAGTGCCAAGATTTCATGTCCTAGGTGATCAGTGCGAAAGTGAAATTTTCTTTCTGTTACAGCAGGGCATCAGTGAGGCGAGATTCTTCCTAAACTGTTGACTGTGCAGGGTATATACAAGAGGGTTGATGCAGGAGTTAAGAAGAGCGCATACATTAGACACAAAGTAAACTGTTGTATACGCATCAGGAACAAATTTAACCAAGAGACAAAGTGCTGCAGGAGGCGTCCAGCACAAGGTGAAGATAAGGGACACTGAGAGTAGCATTTTGGTTACCCTTTTTCGGGACTGTTGTATGGCCCCGATGGATGAATCCAGCAGAAGTTCACGATGACGCAGGCGCAAAGCGATCCGTATGTATAGGTATCCCATCATGCAAATTGGCAGCACGCAATTTACGGTTGACCAGAAGATCTTGTTCGCTCGAGCTAGGGCGTAACTGGGATACCTCTGCACACACCCTTGACGTTCTTCATCGTAGGCTGACACAATGATGCTGGGTAACAACAACAGAGCAGCAAGAACCCACACTACTGGCACTATCCTTGTTAACCGTCGACTCCGAAGCGTGCTGAGTGGATGTAAGGTAGCTCTGTAACGGTCGAACGCTATCACCACAAGCAGGAAGCTCGAGGCTGCTGCCGCCACCCAACCTAAGTTACCGCTGAAAACAAACTTGCAAAGCAGGTCCCCTAAGAAGCCGTTCGGCAGCTGAACGAAGTGACTGACAACACAGGGAGGAATGAAGAAGACAGCGACCAGCAAATCAGCTATGGCCAAATGGAAGAGAAGCCAGTTGATGATGGTTTTCGTTGCTTTATTCTTCAATACCAGAAGGCAGACCAGAGAATTACCTGCTACGTTCAATAGTATCATGGCCACCAGAAAGTGAACATAAACTAGAGATGGAGTCGACAATCCCATTCTTTGGGTCTAAATTGAAATTAAATGAGATTGATTTAATTATACAGAAGAAACAAGAGGAAGATTTAACGCGTAGGGAAATTTTATCAATTAACAGAAAAAAAAACATCTGAAATGAACACAATTTCAATAATACACCAGTACGTAAAACGTTTTTTCGTATACTAAGCTCATATGAAAGCCTTTCAATTTTTTTTAACTTATTGCGACAAATAATGAATATATCTATTGCACCCTGGTTCAGATACATCGTCTGTTCATCACGTGAACAATCTCGTTCCCAAGAGTCACGTTCCCCAAATCCTCACCGCAAGGAATATAGAAAGAACGCGACCACCAGCGATGAGATAGTCACGTTATCTTTTATTCATGATTATGAAACTGAATCACAAGCTATATTGATATGCAGGCATGAGTCTCTATTTGTTTACCGCCCCTATAGACCACCATCTTCCGTCCACGAGTTCTTGAATACATTCATTATTCTGGCGAGGGCTGGAGTGGTTTTACAGGCGATAAATTGCAAATGCTAAGGGTCGATGTCTGTTACCAAGAAAACGTTCCTTGCAAATTTTATGTCATTAAAAGGCGGATTTTAAAATTAACTTTTAAATACGACACGACAATTTCAAATTAATTTCTCTGAGATTTTCTAGATCTCTAGTTTTAGTTTTCAGTAAATTTAGTTAGTTGAATCAATAATCTTTCTTACCATTACTTTAAAGGATCCAGTTTCGCTTGACTACAAAGTTTCATCGTAAATGAACTACAGTTACGAGTCATTTAGACATTTAGGCAGTTGATACACCCTTGAGGCTGAATAAAATTCTAAAAGATGTTTTATCGTTCAGTTCAACGAGTAAACGGTCTTGGAAATCAGCCAACTTAACACAACCGTCAACAATCGCAATTTTTGTTTCAAATTTCCAGAACTTTCTTTCAACTTGAACCGTTCTACAAGGAACAAGAATATTTCATCGAAATAACAGATTATCTAACAATCCTTTCATGCGTGTATGGATACTGCAAAGGAAAAAGTTTTTTAAGTTGAAATTTATCGTATAAATCGCGCAAAGTGAGATGCTTTGGCAAGAAATTTACCTCTGTTGAAGTGCAATTGAAGTACAAAGTTCTCCCAAGAGATTAGGCAGCTCTTATGTAACATTTGTCACTTATGTAACACTTGTGCCGCACAAGTTTGGATATTGCCTATATATAATAACATGTCTTCCTCGACAATTAAAAGTCTAAATTATTGGTTCTCCTTTGTTAATATGCCATCAACCCACGCAGACTGATTAAACGAGAACATACTAGAGAAGGGAATCTTATTGTGGTACAATCCTCTAAGATCTTTCAGTACAAAAAAGTCAAATACTCACTTAAAGGTTTCTCTCTGTTTTGAATGACTTTGCTTTGTAAGTGTCTCGCTCCATTTTCAATCTTTGGTTGTTGTGTCTGTATTAAAAGGCCAACGATAAATTTGAGGCAGGTGTTCCTGTAGATTAAAATTCACCTCACGCACATGATTGGTGAACTGAATGAAACACGAACTTCCATCATTTCATCAAAAAAGAGATAAAAAAATCCACAAACTCATTCAATGATTTTCAATATCCGCAGTAGTATCAATTACGTCGAAGTTTTAATTTCAATCTCATCCAAACTAAAGATTGTAATTCGTCAGATATGTTTATATTTCACAGAAAGAAACCGGTCAAACTCTGGAAACCAGCCCGGCAAGATGATTTTGTTATTAGCTGGGTGCCTATATTTTGCTCATGTTTTGGAATATCGTTGGCATTCTGGCATCTTTTTTTATTAATAAAAGATGAAGAACATAGCTAAGGTTGGTTAACTTTTATTTTTTTATCAACGTGGTCAGCTTATCGTTAAATTTTGAAACTGAGAAGGAAAAGGAAGACAAACATGACTCATGAGAACAAACAGGGTACTTTTTTGTTATAAAATGCAAATTCAATATCTCTTAACAATTATGTGCATTTTAAGGATGAGTCAGCGAATAAAATGTGAACGTCAGAGGGTTGCCAAAGGAGAGGGAATCACTTTATGGTCATGAAAAACGTATATCATATAATTCCACTAAAAATCTGGTCAAGTATCAAAGATGCTCTCCAGACTACTGGAGAGCAACCAGAAACTCACTTAAGAGGAAACTTGATTGCTATTGTTTAGCTAATGAAGGAATTGATAGCGCTTATTACATGCAATTTTCTGATCACATTTTGAAGTATAATATTGAATTGTAAGCACGCAGCATGCAGAAAAACAATTAATTTCCTGCCGTCTGCTTTTAAGGCGGTTAAATGGTAAAATGTTTGGCGGCACTCACTGCAGTGAACAGGGGAATATTTTCTTAGGTTGCCCAGGGTTGATTTAAGGTCGTTGGGGAATGTAACCGAAGTCACAGTCCTTTTATCGCCTTGACATTCGCCCTAATCACCATTTTTAAACTCAATAATAGCGAGTGACTCCTCTTGTTTAAAGATGTGAGATTTTGAGCCTACAAGGCATTAATGAAGGAAAATTCAAATCTGAAATCTGAATAGACCGCTTTTGTGTTCTAATGTGGCAATGTTACATAAACCAACCATAAATTAAGTAAGGTGTCCAACAGCGCTCATATAATTGCCGCAACAAGTACAGGATTCTCGCCAAGAATCACGGGAATCAACGCGCGCCAGACACGTGATGAAGATGGCTAACTTAGAAATAAAATCTTTTTTGAACGAGCAGTCAAAAAAAACCTGTTTCCATCTTTTTCTTCTTTGCGAATATCAAAGATTATTAAGGTGCGACCAATAAAGAGATAACGTGATAAAAATACATAATTCTACGTGGGTTATCTGCACTTTTTGCAAGAACCCCGATGATAGATTGACCCAAAAGGGGGGGGAGGGGAGGGCAAACCTTCACCGAATTGATCTCTCAAATGGTCGATGAAAACATGTTTACTATTTGTGATTCGTGAGTGACTCGCTTGATTCGTCCAAATATAAAAAGTTTGGAGATTTCTTTATCAGCATAGAAACGGAACTTCAAAGCTCATCCGGCTTGCAGTTAAGGCTAATTGATTATTCTACTATTTTGGACTGTCCAGACAGTAAGTGATCTCCGAAAAATGAATGGAAAACGAACCCGTTAAAAGGATATCAGCCAAGTCCTGAAAGTTCTCGAAAGATTTTTAAAAAAATGATGTCTGAGGTGGTTATTGGAAAGTTAGAGATCTAATTAATAACATAAAGGTTCCAAATTTAATTTTGAAGCTTCTAGATCGTTTAAAATATTTCACAGATACAAAGTAAACAAAAGGTCGCTGATACATGTTTTCAAGAGGAAACGAGCTGTGCGCGTATCCGTCAGTGCAAACTGAATACGGAAAATGCATATCTAAAAGAGAGAAAAAGGAATTCGTCAGCTAGAAAACTAGGTGATACGGTTTTTTAATCAAAATACCCGCAAATACTAACAGATATTTCTGTTCCTCTGATGCGGAGTAGTATAACACTTGTTCGTGCCTTGAGGGAAAGATTGTTACTTAAACCAAGAACAGGGAGCAATCCATTCTTTACACTCACCATTAGAAAAATTAATAATACATAACCAGCTAATGCATTTCTTTTCAGTTCAAATCAAGATTTTGTTAAGACTAAAAATAACGTCAAAACAAAATCAATTTATTGGAGTGGGTGGTATAGTTTGCATTGACAAACCACCTTAGAGCAATAAGGATTTGAACCGGATACGCAATCAGATTGTCAAAACATCTGGGTCCAGTTGTTCAAAGGGGGGGGGGGGGAAGGGGTTTCCAACGGATAAATCTCTATCCAGTGGATAAGTGTAAACAAAACCTACTGTTCACTATTCACCGGATTCAGATTTATTGGTCATATAGAAACATATTCAGAAACAGTTCCTCAAAACACTTCACTACTTACTAAACAGGTCCAGCTTTAAAATCTTATCCGGGTTCGCGACAGAAAAACTGTCACTTCAACATCTACAACAGGTGTAGTGAACATGAATCATGTAACTCTGTAAAGATATCCTCTTTAGTTTTAGGTTATGATGCTCAATGAATTGTCCCCATAAGACAAGGATGTTTGTTTCTCTAACACACAATTCAGTGATGAATCAGCAAATCAACAATCATTTCTTTCCTCGATGTTTCGTGATCGTACTTAAAGGTTCTCAGCAAGTTTTCTTTTTCCACTGACGAGCACTTTAACCTTTGTCCTTTCTTAATCTCAGCAGCCAGTCTCCAACGCAAACATTCTTTCATCTGTCAATCAATCCCTTTTCACATGCCGGAGATGAGACTAAAGAATCTGCTATGTTCTGAAACTTCACGTTTTAATTTATAAAATCAACTCGATCTCCCTCTCTCTCTCTCACCGTTCTCTGTCTCACGCTCTGGTCTTTCTCATTTTAAATATCTAATATGATCCTATCGTTCAATCATCTGTCAGTTATCGCAAAAAAATCAACCGGAAATCAATTAACGCTGAATAATCTCTCACATACGAGAAGCACAAACTGAAAACTTGAAAGAAGAGGTCACAAGATAATAATAGCAGCATTAATGTATACAGCAGGATGTGCATTCATGTTACGTTTACAGCCAAAATTTGTTCAAAGAACGCGGCTCATCTATGTTATCTGAATTAGTATTTTTGTTATTCTGTAAAATGAACGCTGTGACATTACACTGTCAGTTTTCAATCTCTAATGTTGTTTTACCATCTGGTGTCACCCATAGCAATCTTTTCCATTTCCTTGCGGCTAAGCGGGCGACACGCAAAAAAATACGGTTGTTCAGGTGGCATTACACATTTTCACGCGCTCTTGGTGTTTTTTTGTTTTGTTTTGGTTTAATGCTGATGCAGGGAGGCGGGTAGGCAAGAATCACGAGAAAATTCAAAGACTATGTTGATAAAAGTATAACTGTAATTCACTCAATTATTTTTAAGTTTGTTACTTTTCTTCTCAAAATGACCCCAACGGTTGCGAGTAAAGCTTCACTCACAACAGCAAGTCAGTTATGTTTGCATGTGTGGGTAAATTCGTAAGCAGAGAGCATCAACAGAGAGGTTCAAGCACTACTGCTATTACATACAATATTTCTAGTCTAACACTACAGTTACGTTATTACTTGATAAACTGTTTGATGTACGTAAGTGATTCCAAAATTTGATATATGCCATACCACATAAAGCTTTTGTTTTTACAACCACAGAGATCCATAAAATTATTTTACTCCTCAACGTTCTAAGAATCTCATTAGTGTCTGAACTAGCAGCACTACTGTTCAGGTTTGGATAGGCAGATAAATTCTTTGTTTAAACAAAGATTTCAACAAAGAAAAAAAATCCGCCGTCAAGAATCTTAGCCTTTTATCGTTGATTTTACGAGTGCTAAATTTTAGTCCATACTTTCCCCAAAACAGAATAAAAAGAGAATCGATTCTAACTTGTGACATTTTACTACGATCTTTCAAAACTAACTAGTATCTTCAGAGTCGCCAGCTAGTCTGAGAAATGAACCTGGACAGTGCGTCAGCAGCCGCGCGCTCTCATCCCTGATCTACCGGCACTCCACCACTAACCACTTCCGTAGTCCTTAAGCTGTATAACAACAGTAGAATTCTCCGTTTGTGAAAGACTCACATCAGTCTTGGACTTCATGCAGATATTGATGTGTCTCAGTTCCACTAGACTACCGCGCGCTTCTTTGTTTCGCCAAAAGTAAATCATAGGATCCAGAACTGCGTTCATGAATGCTGCGGCCTCAGCAAATGGGAAGATACCATGGATTAAAAGAACGCTAGGCACAAATGACAACATCTGCACAATGTTCAAACAGATGCATGGAAAAAAGCTCATAATTTGTACCCCTATTATAACACCCACAGTTTTGGACGACTTGCGGACCTGGGTTTCGGCCGGAGACCCATGAACGGAAGGACCGACTTGTGCGGTATTACCCCGAATTTCCCTAAATATCTTGAGGTAAATAACCACAGTTGATAAGATGCTTGGTAGGAAAAGACATGTCATCACGACAGTTCTAACTGAATGAGGGATGCTCGGCATAAAATTGAGAATTATAACTAATGCCCCGCAGATGACCCAAGTGGTTACAATGGCACAGAATATACGGGTTTTAGTCACCGATTCTTTGTACCAAAACGGATGAAAAACAGCGAAGTAGCGTTCAATGCTTATAAACAACAAGGTGAAGAAAGACAATCCGTGGCACAGCCAGGTAAACAAGTTGTAAATAAAGAAGAGAGAACACGAGTAGTCGCCAGTGGTAAACTTGTTTACCAAGTAAACAATGTTGGAAGTTTGTGCCAACAGAATGACGCACAAATCTGCGGCGATGAGACACAGTACAGATGTGTTGTATACCGTTCGTAATTGTGGCTTCCTTAAAACTGTGATGAACACAAAGCAATTGGCAACACATCCCGTTGGCCACATTAAACAGTTTATAATGATCGCGAATAGCGTCGCCCTCTGAATTGCGTCTGTTGCCTGGTACGGGACCGTTATCGAGTCTCCTATCTGTGGGCAGAACTTTTCACTGGCATTCTCCATACTAGAGTTAAGTGACGAATTTTGGTACAACATTTTACGTTTTATGATCATTCATTTGTTTGCTTATGGTAAGAACGAATCCAATAGCAGTCAATATTCAGAGAAGACAAAAGGTAGTGATTACATAGGTGTTAGCCGACTGTATATAGCCTCTGATTGACAAACAGGATTTTAATTTTAGGAATATAAAATGTTTAATTTGACAAGCTCGTAAATTACTGGGAACAATCTGCACTGCTTAAATTTTTAGTTCGTCGAGAAACAAGTTTTGCGACGGTGGCATTTTAGTGACCAATTTTAGCGCAACGGTTATAATTATCAGCAATAATTCAGCTTTTTGTTTGGATTTAATCTTCTTAGTTTTTCTAATATGTCAGCACATCGATACATTGGCCTAAATTTCATCACCACCAGCTTGGAAATAATTGGACATCTTAAAACCGATAAAAAACTTTACATATTTAACCAGAGGGATTGAAAAGCCGATGCCTTCGCAACCCCCTTTTTGAAAAGTCTTTGTTGTCTTTTTTAAGTAAGTGCAATTAGACGGCCTTCTGTTTGCCACGGGTTTTCGAGGACAAAACATGTCAACAAAAAACGATATTTACATAAATGGAAACTCATTAGTGTAATAGCTTTGAGAAAAGAGATTTGCCGCGGTAATAAAAAATTAAATAAATCATTCTGAGCAGGTTTTTTAAAAGAAACTTTTTCATGTAACATATTAAACTTTGTTCCACAAATATATTTTTTAAGGTTCTACAAAAGCAATATCTTAAAAAATCTATTGTCGTAAAGATTATTGTCAACGATGATCAAGCCCCGGTTGATTGAAGGGTGGATAACCCTGCGGGGGATAAATCTCCACCCGGTGGGCAACGCAATTCGTTTTGTTAACACTTATCTGTTGAATAGCCGGCGGTATCCGCTCTTCGAACAACAGCTAGGGTTCAGGCGGTAATCTAGTGAAAGAGATGCGATGTACTCCATAGAAATCATCAACTTAAAGCCCATCTGCCATTATAAGTTTCTAAGGGAAGCCTGGTCATACAATAGTGTTTGGAGTGTAAAGAATGCTTTGTTCTTAGACCTGCACAGCAAGAGAAGCTCATCCGGCGCGTTGAGAGCTTTGCTGTTCATTGCAACGAATATACCATAGCTTCTTCCAGTAGCAGAGGAGTGAAAAACCGAGGGAAGTTTGGTGTCAGAGACTCGAACGAAACCTCCCCCACTTCCCCGGGGTTCTGCCGCTATTTTTGCACTGTTCAAAATTTCGCTTCGTTTTACTGAATGAACGCTTGAAACAGGCTAAATACGCCTCGTTTCAAGAAGGTAACATAAGGGTTTACTTCAGTTGTATTCATTGCTCCTTCCTCCGACAGTTTAATCTGTAGTGGTGCAGAATTCTTCCGTAAGATCTAGAAAGTCTAAGAGGCAGGGGCCAACGTGTTCAATAACTGACAGCCTAGAGGAGATTCATCAGAGGGACTAGAGATACTGAGAAACTATGCGATAATGAAGAATTACCGCTTATGAACGAATGAGGCAAAACCCACTTTCATACCGTGGTGCTCAACACACGCAGCACACATTCATGATGGCTACATGATCTATTTGTCTAATAATTTTCTTGCTTTAAAAGTGAATCTTTTTCATATCTAAGAAGGAGAAGCTGAAGTAGTAAAGAGTAACTGAGAAGCTATATCTTATTTCTGTTAAAATTGCAGATGTTATATTTTTATCTGCAGTCTTCAGTGTACACATTTATGCTTGGATGTTAATAAAATTTAGGCGAATGATTTAATAGTTTACTTCAATCAAAGTCATGATCGAATATTATTCCTGTTGCTTACAGGTTTCAACATGTTCTCACAAGTGAAATATTAAGAGGAAAAGACGGTCAGCATATTTTCATGGTGATCTGGTGCCTCTAGTTAAGAGACTTCAACACTATTTCAGACGGTCAAATATCATAGCCATTGACTAGAGAATTGTTCCTTTGTTCTCTAAATGCCTGTAGAAAAAATACTTCTGTTTAAAGAATAATTATTAATGAGCCTTGAAAAGCTCTTTTAAGCTCTCTTTTACCAAAGCATTTCGCCACACATAAATGACAGGGTTGACAAGGGCTGTTAGAAACAGCGCACTCTCTGCCAGCGGATAAACCACGTGTAATATGACGTCTTCTCTTACGTAAGCAAGTTGGTGCACAAAGGAAACACACAGAGTTGGCGCGAAACAAAGAAAAAATGATCCTGTTATGATTATAATTGTTTTGGTTGCTTTAGCCTCAGCGACCCCTAAAGATCTCGGTCTGTTGGGGTAGCTACTCTTTTGGCTGGCTTGACTGTGCGGATGGTCTTTGATTCGAGAAGCCTTGTAGAGTTTAAAATAGACAAATATTGTTTGGAACAGCGTGAATGTAATTAAAATGGAAGATGCAATTGAATAAGCTTTCAAGTTCATTCCAGAAGCTGAAAAACGTAGACTGAAGCTGAACGCAGACCAAAACAACCAACCGCTGAAAATTACAAGCATTACGCGGAACTGCGTGACGGCGGCGTGATAAATGAACGGCCGAAACACGGCAAAGTATCTCTCTAAAGTTATGAGCCCAAGAGTAATGAACGATAAACCAACACACCAAAACTCGAACACGGTCTTTATAAAGTAAGGAACACACAGGTAAGTACTGTTTATAAACTTTCCGATCTGATACGCAATGAAGGCAGGCTGAATAAACATGGCAATTAGAAGATCCGTAACTGCCAGACAAAGAACAGAAGTATTAAAAGTTGTTCGTAAACTGCGTTTTTTTAAAATCACCATGAAGACCAGAAGATTCTCTCCAATCGCCAGAGGACATGAAATTCCGTTTACAATACATGTTAGTATGGTTACAGTCTGAGCCGTAGCACTTGGAGTGTAAGGAGTGCTTGTAACCTTTATCAGTAGACTTGGACACAGAGGGAAACTTGTCGCGTTGAGAGCTGTGTTGTTCATCGAATCAAGAAAATTTGTGTCGACTCTTATATTGCTTACTGGTTGTCCTGAGAGATCAAAAGAACCCCAAATTCAAACTCAATTCTCCCTTTAAGAGGACGCTTAAGTGTTGTGTTGAATGTACCTTGAAATCTGAAAATATCCATTGAAAAGCTCCATTGAAGTCATAAAAAGTTTAGACCGAGATTAGAACTGAGAGAGCAGTCACGTTTAACCAACTTATTTTTAACCATCGCAGTCAGTACTCGCCCACTTACAGCTGGCATGAGCGCTCAAACGCATAATTTAAGTTCATGCATGACTTGACAGAGTCAAAGTTTACTCAAGAATTGACTTCACAGTTTCCTTTCTGTCGACAGTCTGTAAGGGTAAGGCGATATCCTTTTATGTTCAACATGGAAAAGAATTGTAATCTTTATTATTTGATAACTTAAGTAAATCGCGTAATCTGACAGTTTCAATTTACAAAATTTGCATTTCCAACACATTTGTGAGGATCTACGCATCACGGAGGCTTAATATCAGAGGAAGTTATACGAACAAACTATAAAGGATGTTGTTAGCTCTGCGAGTCTCTTGCGTTTGACCTTTCAATTGATGTTCCTTTTAAAGATTGAATGTTATCTTAAAAGTTTAATGCCATTATCGTATCAGTGTAGAAGATAAAGCCTTAAGAGCGAAAGGGAAAAAAGAGACATGGTAGATGAAGACATCAAGCATTCCCTTTTCGGCGAATTCGTCGCGTGAATTAAAAAAAATCAAGGAAAAAATTGATTTTAGCGCGGAACTCTAGGAGTGAGACACACGAATAATACGTGTCGGGCGCCTCACTCCCGGACTTCCAATTATTTTTAACTCGTAAATTGCGCGCATGCGCAAGAGCGAGTTGTAGATATGATGTGGAGAATGGCACTCGCTCGCTCGCTCGCTCGCTCGATTGGTCGATTCCTATAAACTTTTTTTCGATTTTAGGCTTTTGAGTGCATTTGATAGTTTTTGGCGAGCAATAAACAAACGAAATGGCGACCTTTGTTGCTAAGAATAGTGGTGGGGTGAAAAAGAAGCCAGTGATAATCTTAAAAGATGTTTTTTTTCGTTTTAGTTTCAACAAGCGGCGCCAGCGACTGGCAGGCATGCAAGGATTCACACTGAAATAACAGAACAATCTTCGTTTTTCATAAAATTGTAATTTACAATCCTTGAACTTGAAAACAATACGAAGATTCATTGAAAATATCACTTACTCCGAAGCGCTCGGAGTTTACAGATGTTCAAAAGCTTCTTCTGTTATGGCGTGAGATTGAGGAAAAAATCGATCGTTACGTTTCGTATCGTGTGTTTTTCCTGTGTCAAAAGATGCCGGCGACTGACGAAATTACAAGTTATCACGAAAATTAAGTAACACCTAAACAAACAATTTCAGCTACCGATTTTCGGTGAATTTTTTTAAGAACAATTTTCTTTTAAGTTTCAAGACGATTTGAAGATTCAAAATAAAAATTACGTACTAAAATGCGAAAGTTATACACTACAAAATTGATAAATGGGCCTGAAATCAAATTTTATCTTGTTCTTGATATACGTTGCCTAGCACGTGACTAAAATCTACCCTGGCGGAGATCCAAAATGACGGTGGCAGTCTTGGCTTAGTTATATCACTCAAAACTCGTTCCCGTTTGTCTCATTTGATAAAGAGGGAATCGTTAATGTTTTCATTAAGACAGTATTGCATTGGTTTTTTAATATTTACAATGATAGACAGTAAATTTCACTTTTCACCCACATTTACTTCCAACCTTTTCTCTTGAACCAGAAACAAAAATGATATACGTTTAAAACACATGACATCATCCACCCTTGTCAAATGTAATAGCATGATCATTTTAATTGTAATGCCTTCTTATCCCAACGTTACTTTGTTTCTTTGCTGCGAACACTGAACGACTGCTCGTACTCTAGATATGACAATCAACCACAAAATTCCCTAAACCAGATAACATTAAACATAATCCAAAAAATCATGTGTTAATTCACGAGTTTGCTCACAGAACACTTTGATTTTTTTTTAATTGATGCTTGTTTACTCCAGCGACGGACTTCGCTGAACAGCAGGGACTGCGTAGTCTACAGTAGATGCCACCGTTGCTGTAGCAAATCGTTTTTGCATTGGATGTATTTTTTCAGTCGGCTTCAAAGGAAGAGGAATCCTTGAAATTGCCCATTAGGATCTCTAGAATAATATCTAGTGCATGCAAATTTCGGTGTCTGTGGCTTTCTAGCCGAATTGCATTGTTACCTTTAACAAAGTTGCACAATTTTTTCCAATATCACGCTAGTGTACGTATGACTCTCCAGTCACCGCTCAGCTACTAAACAACATAATATTGAGAGATCTAAAGTTACAATGTATTTGCGACGTAAATGTGGCATAGATTAATATAGATATATCAGAACGCCAAAGGCTAATATGAAGCTGTCATAACTTTTCATAACGGATCAAGATCGATAAAACCGCGGAACAATGAGATGAATTTATTTCAGAACCTGATGAGGCAACTACTTAAACAGGACTAACTGACAAGGTAATGAGGGGGGCATTTGGGTTTTGCGGTTTTGGCTACTTTTTAGATCAATTTTTCGGTTTTTGAGCCAAAAAACTTCGGTTTTGGTGTTCATATCGCGATTTGCGGATTTTCCGTTTTCTATGATTTGGTTTTCAGTTTTCGTAAAAAACACGAATGGGTTTTTGTATTCGGTATCCGATGTGGTTTTCGATTCTTCCCGTTTGGAACTTCAACAACTTTAATACCAAGACTGTCTCTTTAATGACTCGTGGAGTAACAGGGACTTAAAAGCTTTGAACCGGAAATACGAGAGGTGTGAGGGCGCATCAATGATGAATGTTGGCCAGAAAAAACAGGAAATGCAAAAACCATAGGAAGTACAAGAGTCACGAAAAGGTCAAAATTATTAACGTAATTGATGAACTGACAACATAGGAAGTTCGAAACTACAGGAAATTTCACAAGATTGCATCTCCGCTACAAACAACGGTCTTACTTATTTTAAAAGCTATCTCAATTTGCACGAGTTTCGTTTAACATGCTTGTCACTGATGTGACCTTGATAACATTAATGAATCTGACTATGGGGCTCAGAAATCTTTAAAATACGCGAAGGACCATAAAATGATTTGTCCTAATTCAAGTAACTTTACCTCGCAAACTCCTAGTGCTGCTAGCAGGGGTTTTACTTTCTGGTCGTATGCTGATATCTAGATCTCCCAGAGCACTTTTGTAGAAATTTAATTTTTTCATAATTTCTGTCCCTCTTAAAACTGGAAACGAGCAGCAAATGCCTCAGTAAACCGCGTTCAAACAGCCGAGCTGTCACTATTTTGGTCTATGACGAAAGCTGCATACTAAGTTCATCTCAGGTCCTAGGTAATAAAAGAAGGCAGAATCTGCACATATTTTTTGTCGGAACGGATCATCTCGGTAAGATTCTTGTTGTTTTTTTGTTTGTTGTTTTTCCCTGTTTGGATACCGATTCTCAACCGATTCCAGCTTTTCCTGTGTAGGCGGAGCGTAGGCTGGAAAAGAGGAATGAATGACGGAAGACGACCGGATCTGTTTTTTGTTGATGAGATCAAGATAATAGCAGAAATCCTCGGACAGACGAAAGTTTTATCATTGAATATCTTGATATTCCTGTCAGTTATGCTAAAGAAGCTCCTCTGCGCTCTGCGAATCATTAAAAAAATCAAAGTTGAATTCACCAACTGTCATTCAGTTTTAATCCTTGCTAACCTTCGATATCGTTGGCCATCCTCGTTTCCTCTCAGGTATATTTTCCGGGTTGGTGTTTCCCAAAAACTGTTCCTTGGTTCAATTCACTCAAGCTGTTGACGCCCAAGCTCCATCAATCTACGTTCAGTGTTTGCGTGCAATCGTTGAACACAGAGCAAACAAGTTACAGTGATATTATTGTTAGAAGAAGTTTAAAAACGGCCACCGCGTGTCTTTGCTAGAGAGGCACGATCAAAACATGGTGGAAATCATGTTATGAGATTGGGCCTCTCTCCAAATTGGCGGCGGGAAATAAATACTTATTGAATAACATATGAAATTACCACTTTTCCTAGTGAAGATCTCTTATTTCGGTAACCATGTTTGAGGAGGGTATATTGTTGCAGTCAATTGCTTTATACTGTGAAGAAACGCCGCTTCCTTTAAAAAATATTTAAGAAACTTTAAAAAAATAATGCGCGCCTTGGGGGGATAATTGTAAATACTATACAGTAAGAAATACGATTAACTAAAGATAATTTCATTTCGATTTCCGCTCGTTTACATTTCCTCTTTATGTAAGGCGGCAGTATTTAGCTCATTATATTATTGTCAATCGGCTTTTGAAGGCAGGGCGCTCTAAATATGTAGCCATGCATACAAATTAACTCGTTATCAGGTCAACAAATCTACCACGGCCAATATACAGGGATGATTAAGTACTGATTGAAATACTGGGCCTTTAATCGCTAAGGCGATGACATCGGTTGTTGCAAAAACCAATCACATAGCTCGAATTATCTATCTATTTACATACGCTGGTAAAATCGGAAAAAGTGGTTAGTTCCTTCGATTTTGAGGCCGAAACTTTACTGGTGAACCGACGTTGTTTTGACGCTTAAAGGTTAAATCTTATTCCGTCTGGAAGCTGGAGGAACAGCTGAGGACATGAGAGAAGCTCATGATATGCAAACGGAGCAATTCGTCTGACAGGCTCCCATTCCGGAGCAAGCGTCTTTTTCTTTTCCTTCTGACATCTTCAGCATTTTTAACATATATTCTCTACGGGAACGTGCACAGGAGTAGCCATACAGTAAAGTTCACTCCCTTCAATGGCTTAAAAAATGAGAACAACCACTCGATCTTAACGCGTGTGAGGTCAGGGGCAACGAAACGACCACTTCGACAATCGAATCATTTGGAACACGTGGCATTTGGAGTGTCGTCGGATTTCAAAACAAAATTAAATCCGACCAGAACTTCAGACGAATTGAGAAAATTTTCATCAAAGCTGTTCCAAGAACGCATTAAACATCGATCTCCGGAAGACTCTGCATCCCGCAGTCGGCTTAACTCTCGCATCAAGTACACTAGCAACGTTAGCGGTGTTGACAAGAGCTTGAATTATTCCTCTAGTCGAGGCGATCGGAAACGTTTGTTGAATTTTAGGAGTCAAAGTGGACGAATTGAAGATAGTGAAGATAGCGACGTTTCTGAGTTTGAGCTTGAAGATGACGAATTTAAGAAACGACTCCCGAACGCCATAATTATAGGTGTAAAGAAAGGAGGAACACGCGCGCTGCTTGAAATCTTAAAGATTCATCCGAGTATCAGAGCGTGTAGCAGTGAAGTGCACTTCTTCGATCGAGATGAAAATTACGAACAAGGACTCAGCTGGTATCGAGAACAAATGCCTAAGTCATTGCCGGAGCAGATCACGATTGAGAAATCCCCAAGTTACTTTATAACTTCGAAGGTACCTGAGAGAGTATATCGAATGTCTGAAACTATTAAACTCATCGTGATTGTACGCGACCCCACAACACGAGCCATATCGGATTATACCCAAGGGTTAGAGAGAAAACCCGATAACCCACGTTTTGAAGAAATGGTTTTTAACGAGGAAGGCGAAGTGGACGAAAGCTGGAGCAAAATCTCCATTGGCCGCTATGCCGAGCACTTAGCGAAGTGGATGGAATATTTCCCTTTGAGGCAATTCCATTTTGTTAGCGGAGAGGAACTTGTCAAAAGACCCGCTAAAGAATTGAAACTCGTTGAACGATTTCTAAATATAAAACCTTTCATCAGGGAGGATAATTTCTATTTTAACGAAAGTAAAGGATTTCCGTGTTTTGTCGGTAAAATCTCAAACGCTGGGAACGTGAACAAAGCACACTGCATGGGCGAATCGAAAGGCAGAAAGCATCCCGCTGTTCACGAGGACGTTTTACTAAAGTTACGGGGATATTTTGACCCATTAAATAAAAAATTGTATTCGATGGTGCATCGAAATTTTCACTGGTGAACGACGGCAAGAGAAAAATTTGAAATCTGCGTAGGCCTCTGAGTTGTCGAGGTATTTGACGTTGAATAATGTTTGCTTTGCGATCGATCTTATCATTCCATCTACACCATACACAAACATTCGAGATGGATTACTCACTAGAATCCACACATTAAATTAAGAGACTCAACAAATTAAGCGTCACACGGAGGTACGACAGGAACAGAAACAAAACAATTTTCCTTCAATACCTTTTACGCGCGTTATCGAACTTGGCAACTGGCGTAATTATTTATTCATCTAATTAATATTTATTCTCCCTTGTGGTCTAAGATACAGTGTGATTGGGAGCCACAGTCGCCAAAATATTTTTAAAATATTATTTCAAAGAAGTGGCCGTTTGTCTGTGGAGGTTGAGAAGCTTTCGTTGGCATAAACTCCACGGAGATGAAAGATACGAATATTCTTTTCCATATTTTATACTTTATCTTTATTAGGAAATTATGTAAAATTGTGTAATTGTGTCCTTCTTAGCATATTATGTCTGTCTGTTTGGTATAGTTCAAAACTTTTTTATTTCAAAACATTTTTAGTCCAATTGAATTTTTCTAGGGATAAAGCAGCTACAATATATATCTCTCTGCTCTGAGATATACCAACAGATTGATCAATTCTAGGCTCAATTATTTAACATCACATGAACAAAGGGATTAATATTACAAATGTTAGTTGGTTGATAATTTAATGAATAAAGGGGTAAGTTTCTAAAGAAACTGTGGTGCTGCATCGGTGGGAGAGTATAGCAGGTAATTTAGTGTTAACAACTGGGTTGAAAACGTAAATTAGCCACCGTAAAGGGTAAAAAAGCTGACATTTCGAGCATTAGCCCTTCATCAATCGCTCTGACGAAGGGCTAACGCTCGAAACGTCAGCTTTTTTACCCTTTATGGAGGCTAATTTACGTTTTCAACCCAGGTGTTAACACCAAATTACCTGATAATTTAATGGCCAATTTGTTGCAAATACCTAATCAATGTAAGAGTGTGAAGTTCAGTGCAATCAATGATCCTCTATCAAATAATTTTACCCTATGAATTCGTTACGTCTATTTACATAACACCATCAACAATGTGCTATGCAATTTAGTACTGTAATTTCAATAATTGTGCCATAAATCGTGGTATTGAACAAATATTGTATATACACAAGTATATTTGACAAAATTTAAACATAGAATGTATTATTTTTTTTTCAAGAGAATGAAAATGTACTTATTCATTTGCATTGTGTCTGCTTCGTGGTTATTCTCTCATCAGTGCCATTCTTATAGGAATATTACTGTATAACTTAAAAGATTGCAAGTTCAAGTCTCAGAACTGCAAACCACAGAATCTGAATTTAAATCTAAACTTTTTGAAATAGTAAGCACTTTACCAAATAATTTTCTTAATTGTTGTCATTTCAATAATTTTGGTTCTTATAGTATTCTGTGTTGCACAGAATTTATATATATCCTTTTTGACCCTGTAAAAGGAAAGTATATTTATAAAATTGATTAATGAATGGAGCTGAAACTAAAGGTTGTCATTGTTTATTTCACTATTTTACACTTTCCTGCTATAAGGTGTCCTCTTTCTTTTTCATGCTTAAAAATAAAATAAAGAATAGTTACAATTGCTGTTATGGCTGAAGCAAAATTAATTGTTTTGAACAGGTTATACTTGATCGTCCTTGCCTGTTATCAATTGTATTATCAATACTTGTTAACCACATGTTACACTTTAACTCCCAGATCAAATTTGTAATTCTCCTTTCTGTCAACCATGCAATTCTTATCATGTTAGTTCAGAGAATTTAGTATTGAATCAAATTATCCCCAAATTGATATTTTTCTTAATTCTCATCACTTATCTGGTTGATATTGTATTGATACTGTAAGAAGAAATTCTGTCTCAGTCACTCATGGGAGTTAAAGGGTTAACAAAGCTATCATGGCTGAATTTAGAGGTAACATGGAATTCTTTACTGAATAAAGATCTACTACTGTTCATTGTTAAGAGTTAGTCCTGAACATTAGATAGGTGTTAAGAATAAAGAAAAATATCAATTAGGGGATTAGTAGTTGATCCAATATCAAATTCTCTAAACTAACAACAAGAAATGTATGGCAGACAGTAAGGAGAATTCCTCAATGAGATCTTGGGAGTGAAAGGGATGTAGGTGCTTAATGGAATTGGCAGCAGGTAATTCTTGATTACCTACTTAGGATTTACAGCTTTCTCTTTCAGGTCTAACTTGCTTTACTCTACTCTTCCATTCAAAGGGGTTAATGGGTTAATTAAATGACAAGTTTGCTCAGAAATTACAAATAGTTGGCAATATTTTGCAGCAAACAAGTTCAAAAACTGTTTCCTTACTCAGACTTCCTACAAAATCTTCTTTGCACCCCACATAAGTTGTTCAATTTATTGCAAAGTCACTTGATGAAAACATTCTTTTGAGGAAAATTGAATCAGCAAGTAACTAAGGCAAGATTCACACTTCATTATGAGTTCTTTGAAAAGGAAGACAAGATTACATCTGAGACTATAACATTGTTTTAGAATAGTCTAAGACTATGGGGAAATCTTTCTGTTAAAAAAAAAATTTGACATGCCTGAATTAAAATACCTCAATGGTGAGAGAGAGTAAATCACCATAATTTGATCCTTTTACTATAAGGACGTGATTGTTAATTCTCTGCTCTAGCTGCTACTCATTTCCTTGTAACTTAGTTAGAAGAATTTGTTGTCAGATCAAGTTAACAACTTCTACCTAATACATTTGATTACTTTCATTACCTGTTTGCTGGATAGTGGATGGATATTTTAGGGAGAGGTTACTTGTGAATCTCTGCTGGGAGTTAAAGGGTTAAACGATTTCTTCGGCAGTCAAGAGAGTGTAACATTTTAATTTAAAAATCTTCGCGCCCTGTGCCCGACTACTCCTTCCCAGGGCCCCATACCATACGTAATTGTGCACGTGTTCCACCGTGCGCTCGCGGCCATGATCGGGAAAATGGCGGAGGAGAAAGAACTCGATGAAAAGACGGGCAGTGGCGATTCAGAAGAAGATCAAGACGACGAAGAGGTTGAAGCTAACGGAAAAGATGATTTCGATGAAGATGATCCGGAGTTTGATGATCCAGAAGGCTTTGTGGATGAAGTAACAGATGAAGGTAAATTCTAAGTTTCAACTCTTCTGGCTTCGAAAGGATTTCAATTCACAACTTTCCCGATATTCAGTTACATGCCTAGATTTTGGAATTTTTGAGTCGAAAAATTATTTTCGATGGACGAAAATTTGAGATCACCCCAAGTCTTGTGTTTTCACCACTTAGTACCCCTCGTGGTAAAAACTAATTTCTACAATAGGCCGGCATGTACTTCTCCTTAATGAAATGTAAGCTTCGGTAATGAAATTCTGCCGGTACATACAACGAACGTCGTAAACTCCTTTTCTCGACCACAATCAGGGGATTCCTTCTCCCTTTTATTTGTTCTTGAACTATGAATGATTTTTACACGTAATAATGTCCTCTTACGCGAATAGATTTTCAGCAACTGTTCACTTTGGCGAAAGAGTGCATGCAATATTCAAGGCTTTAAACGTTTTTCGAACATAGCTTTAGACCAACAAATAGCGGTCGTCTTGGTTTTTTCTCCTTGACGACATAATTTGTAGGTTGAAACTCAACAAATTTCCACCTATTTCTTTTATTGAAGATCTTTAAATGGGTGGGTGCTGCAAAGGAAGTTTACATTACCAATCTATATCACACCGTCCAATACCGTTGTCCCAAGTAACTTTTTACGGGGATTATTTCATGTTTTACACTGGAGACTCCACATTTTGGATTTCATTGCAAAAACGAGAATGTACTTTTTTATCTACTTGTTTTTAACTTGTAAAACTGGAAGTTTACAGCGATTTTATTATATATGAAGGATTGATTGCACCAACTGGTCGTATATTATATTTCCTTTGTTTAATTTTATTTTCATAGTAAAATTGTGAGGTAAAACAATTAAAGTGTTTAAACAGTAAATAAACTGGGAACCCACAGTAACCCTTCAACTGCGATAGATCTGAAAAAAAAAAATGAAAAAGATTGGCATATTTTTTTTAGGGTTTCATTGTGCTCTGCCTTCTTTCAATAAGAAACAGATGTACTTACTTAGAAGCAAGGAGACTGGTTGTCAGTAAATGTTCTTAAGGACATATATTTTTGTTGTCTTCTCAATGAATCAGCTTGCCGTTGAGTAGGTTTACAGATTTGAATCTAAGTTTTGTACATCTTGATTAACCTCAGATCCTGCTATGAATAGACAGGAAGTACAGTTGTGTCTGGGAATTGAATCAAGGAAATGTCCAATAAAACTAAGAAGATTTTAGAAGCGATTTAACGAAGAATAGATCCTACTTCACAACATGTAATTTAAAATTTTTCCTCAAATACAGAACTCTTGGGAGATATCTTGGCAGAGAAACCCAAAGAAGTCCAAGGGACTGATTGCATCATTGTTGTTGACAATGTGCCTACCATCCCGCCAGACAGACTCGAAAAGTTAAAGAACGTGATCCGTAAAGTATTTTCAAAGTTTGGAAAGATCATTACTGAGCATTATCCATTGGATGATAATGGAATGACAAAAGGGTATGAGTGTTGAACCATTCTTGATCGATCATTTCAAGAATGTAGCTATTTCATCTTTTTATTTTTTAATACTCTGCAATTTTCAGGTATATTTTCTTGGAATTCTCTAATGCTAAAGATGCAGCACAAGCTGTGAAGACAGCTAATGGTTACAAGCTAGACAAACATCACATATTTGCTGTTAATCATTTTGAGGACTTTGACAAGTAAGTCTGTCATCCAGGAGGAGTTTTAATGACAAGTTGTTTTGACACATTGTGTTCAGGTTGTACTGAGTTATCATGAGTGAAAGTAACAGGAGATGACATCAATTATTTCTAGGTTGGTTAGCCTGACAAAGGACTGGCAAGCTCCAACAAAACAACCCTATGTTCAGCAGGTGAGTGAAAATTGAATTAGAGGTACAGAGAGATGGAAGCAATTTGATGGTAAATTAACCATTACATGGCTTGCATGGTGCATTCAGCTATGCTTTGTGAGGTAAAAAGAGTTTTGAGCTCGTTCTGACAGCCTACACAGGGCGTGAAATTGCGCCTAATACAGGTGCCAATGCGACTAAATTTTTTACTTTGGCAACCAAATCCTGGAAATTAGTCGCCAATTTGGCGACTAGAATGTTTCATCATAGCCTTATCAAGAGATATAGTGAATTAAAAAGATTTGCAAAGTTAAATCCGCGGAAAACTTCCTCGTTAAGTTCATTTTCAAAACGCAACACATGCATCTCGATCGATAACTAGATGCCATCTTTGATTTAGGTGAGCTTTAAAGTTGTATATCGTCCATTCTAGTGTCCACTTTGTGGCACGTTAAAGATCTTTTCCCAAATTTAATTTTGGAAGGTCTATCTAGAACGCTGACAGCTTAAAAAAGGTTTTGTTTGTCTTTGAAAATGGTGAAAATCCCCAGTGTAACGTATGGAATTTCGGTATGGGGAAATTGTTCTCCTTCCGCACTGAACTCTCTAAACCATATTCATGCAAGAGCAGCTCGTATTGTGAATAACCTCGACTCAACGATGGTAGATGACACATGTCTCATGAAATCCGACTGGCTGCCCATCTCTTACTTCTATAAAAAATCTGTACTGTTTCTCTTGCACAAAGTATATTTTGGAACAACGACCCAGTCGATATGTGAACTGTTTTCTAAAAGAGTTTCTTCTAGATCTTCTCGTGTTCCTAACCAATTTAATGTCATTAGATTTAGATCAGAGACCGGCAGGAACTCCCTACGATACAGAGGTCCTGTTATTTGGAATTTTGTAAATAGATTAGTTAAAGTACCTGAAAGTTTTTATTCTTTTAAACAAATTTTACGTAAACATGTTAAGACTATTGACAATTTTTCATTTGAGAAAGAGGCAACAGTAGTTGCCAACAGAAAGGACCATTTCATTTACTTTTAGATTTATATGTTAGTCTTAGTGAACACCATTTTATTTGTATATAGTAGTTCTAAGTTATTATTGCAATTTTTATATATATGTAATTCTTAATATTTAGTATAGTAGGTCCACATCAGCCCTTTGGCTGCCTTTCACACAACCTACTTATCAAATAAAGAATGTATGTATGTATGTATGTATGTATGTATGTATGGCGACCAACTTTTTTCCACTTGGCTACCATTTTGAAGAATTTAGGAGCCAAGTGGCTATCAGAAAAAAAAATTAATTTCACGCCCTGCTACAGGTGGGTTAATTCGGACCAGGTTTCTCAAACTCCTTAGGATTGAAACTGAGTGTTATATATTTACTTAATTTTGTAATTTTAAATGTGGCAAATGATGAAGTTCTCCTTATGCCAGTTCTGCTACTGAATTGAAGTGCTGAGAACTGGGAGAGAATCAAACTGATGCTTGATCATATCTTTTATTACTTCAAGTCATTCATAGACACAGATCTGCTGCAGTTTTAATCTAGGCTCTTCCAATCATTTTGTCTCACCACATCCACATCACAATTATTCCTACCTGTTAAAAAAGTTAACGGAACAAGCAAACATGAAACAGAAGCAATGGAAAAGGTTCATGGTTACCTTCATGTTTTCAGGAAAATTTGAGATCTTGGCTTTTGGATCAGGATTGTAATGATCAATATTCTTTGATTCATGGAGGAGGAGATAAGGTTGCAATCATGTGGAATACCCAACAGGAACCAATTCTATCAAAAGAGAGACTGGTAAGCTAGCATGAATTTTCGAAAATAGTCAGTTTACAAGCCATAGGTCTATCCTGCCAGAACTTATTCCAGTTCTGTAGCTTGAAGCAACCAGGAGTATTGATACATGTATCTCATGGATGTGAACTCAACTCATTGCAGGTTCTCTCTCTACATTTTTCAAGTTTCAATGAAAATTCACCACTGGCCATTTATAACCCTCAGTAAAGGGATGCACTGTGATGAGAATATTCTTGTGTCTAAGGACACAAACACATTAACGAATAAAGAATATGTTAGGGAATTGCACTTGCACTGATTGATAAAGAAAGAAACCTCACAGGGTAAGAGTTGGTAAGGTAGACTAACATCAAAGAGAGAAGAAAGAAGCATTACATAATTTACCACAATTGGTAGTGATGTTGTAATCTGATTGGCCAGTTTGGCCAACTCCCTGCTAAAATTCCAAATACATTTAGATTTGCTGTGTAGAAGTTAGTTAATGTTTGTCCTCTGATTATGGCTCATTTCCAATTCTCTCGCTTATTCCTTCAGAACTGGACTGAAACATATGTACGCTGGTCACCCAAAGGCACATATTTAGCAACTCTCCATCACCAGGGTATTGCTCTCTGGGGTGGAGAAGAATTCAAAAGGCTGATGAGGTTCAGTCATCCAGGAGTCCAGCTCATAGATTTCTCGCCCTGCGAAAGGTGCATGTTGTTTGCATACTGATTAATTATCATCATTATTATTATATTTATTATTATTTTAGTTAAACATTGTTAAATACTGTATGAACCAAGTTTATTTGTTAGTTTTGTAGCATTGCTGTTTCAGAAATTCCACTTCAGATGTACATGTATGCTGGATTGTAGCCTCAAATTGTCTATGACACTTTTGGTTGTTGGGAAATTATTTCCTGTCACAGTAATGCTGCATGAGTGGGTCCTAAGTTATCTTCAATTTTCCAACTTCCTCATGATTAGATAAGGCTACATGAGTGCAAAGGTGGAAAAAGTCCTTTATAACTTAACTTAACCATATGGATATTATTTAACATGGTTTCCTGAGGATCTTCTTAACTTTTCAAGGCAGAAGTCACCTTGGTGGCCAAGAAGGTGGAGTGGAAAGAACTCTTGAATTAATGTTCTTTACACATATTTCATGTCTCAAAGTAGTTTGACACTGTCTCGTGTACACTAGCATTGATAGCTGGGTCCTGGCTCTAACTCAGAAGCTAGATAAAGTAGGTGAAACCTTATCATTAATTTTTTCTTTCTTGTGCAGATATTTGGTGACCTTTAGTCCTCTAGTAGACAATCCTGATGATCCACAGGTATTACAGCACTTTGGAGTTTTTCATTTTCACAAAATTTTCCACATCAGTCCTGTTCCATTTAAACCTTGCTTGTTCTGTTCAGTTTGTGTCTGGAGAAATCATGCATGGCAACAAAATCTTGCTATGTTCTCAAGGGAGACTTGTCAATTCGTAATAGTTTTTATTATTGATTTATTGTTATTAATAAATTATTTGGTTGATTTCAATAAGATCAAATCAATTATTCTCCTCTCCAGTTCTGCACATTTCAGTGTATGTCGTCATAATACTTAATTTTTTTTCTCCCTCTCAGGCCATAGTAATTTGGGACATACGAACAGGAACAAAAAAGAGAGGGTTTATTTGCGGAGATCAATCTCAGTGGCCAGTGTTTAGGTAAGGTCTTTTCATTTGTAGTAGCAATGAGAACAGACTGTAAGCTGCAGTTGTAAATTTTAGAAGAGTTTATAATTATGTATTGTTTTTATGCTTTGTTTCTATAGATGGAGTGCCCAGGGTAAATTTTTTGGTCGTTTAGGAGAGGACAGCATTAGTATATATGAGACACCGGTGAGTTGTCACCCAGTATATTCTCCCAAAAATCGCTCTCTTTGTGGAAACATTTTTCTCTCACTTCTGTCGGGAAGTTATCATTTTGAAATAATTATCGTGGCAAGAGAAAAGTGTTAAGTAACAGGTGAATACTGTCCATGTCTGACTTCACCCTCTACATCATTACAGTAGTAGTCATATTCTCCTCACTGTTCTCTCTACATTTTGTATAGTATTGACAAGGAGAATTTGTGTGACAATCAGGAGGTTCTTGATTTGGTGATTATTTTCTTTTTTCCTCATGACCTTTACATTTGATTCAAGGGTGAGACTGTGAGAAGATGCCAGTCACTCTAAGGGGCTACAGATTTGCTGGATAACTTTTTGCAGTATCAGAAGAAATCACTCCTTGACCATGCGTTATGAACACATTGACAGTTTATCACTTTCATATAGCTTCCATAGAAGAATAGGAATGAAATAAGATGATGGATGTGTATGTCATTGTGTGTTTTAATTTTACTTTTTTTGCAGTCTTTTGGTCTATTAGAGAAGAAAAGCTTGAAGATTCAAGGTGTCAGGTAAATATTTAATAATATATGACCTCACATGTATGTCATTGTCAAAGACAAGACTTTAAGGCATAGGTCTAAACACTTTTTGCTTTTGTGCTTCACAGGGAGTTTGCATGGTCTCCAACAGATGAAGTGATAGCATTTTGGGTTCCTGAAAATAAAGACACACCAGCTCGTGTTACCCTCATGGAGATACCTAGCAGAAAAGAAATCCGAGTTAAAAATCTTTTCAATGTGTCTGAGGTAATGATAATGCAATTGACGTTACTTGGTCAAATGGTGAACAATGCTCATTGAGCAAATTTGCTATTAAGTGTCTACACGTATTTGGGATGGCAGTGGTTTTTGTCACTGTGTCATGTCATTGGTGTGGAAAGGCAAAGCCATTTTCTCAACTTTCATATACAAAACTAAAGCCAATCACAACTTGGTCATTCCAGTTTTCTTGCCTTAAAAGCTCTCTCCTTGTGTTCACTTTCAGTTCTCATCAACATTTTACCTTCTCTCCTATTGGCCATTGTAACTCTTCTTCATTGGTTTTGATTTTTGTAACACATGCTGGTAGTGTTCCCTTAATAAAGTTTCTTCATGTACTATGGACACTTAACCCTTTACATCCTAACATCAGTATGCATATTCTCCATACTGTTCTCTTTTCATTTCCTAGTGTGCTGACAGGGAGAATTTGTTTAATAATCAAGAGGTTCTTCAGTCGATTATCATCTCCTTTATTCTCTCATGACCTAAATGTTTGATTCAGGGGTGATATTGAAAAGAGAAATTAGATGCAAGTCACTCTCAGGGATTAAGGGATTAAGGCAACTGTGAGATAAAAAATATTCTCTTGCTTTTCTTAATTGATTTAAAAGATATGCGTTATATTTGGCCACTCTGATGCCTTAGGTAACCAAGTGTGACAATTATAACATTCCAATAAAACAACACAAATGATGAAGTTCTCCTTATGCCAGTTCTGCTACTGATTTGAAGTGCTGAGAACTGGGAGAGAATCAAACTGATGGTCAAAAAATGAAGTGTTTTGATGTAAACAGATATTAATGTTGTGAAAATTTGTATGAACAGTATTTTTAATTTATTTTGATTTCAGTGCAAGATGTACTGGCAACAGAAAGGAGACTATCTTGGTGTGAAAGTTGATAGATACACCAAAAGTAAAAAGGTCAGTATATGTACATGTAACTTTATTTTGATTAAATGTACCTCCAGGCCAAGCAACCTTGGTGTTGAATATTCACTGACATGTACAGTATATTCTGTTGTTGTTTTGTGATATGAGGGTTGCTTTCCTTTGACCCAGTGAGTGAGTGTGTGGTTTTAAACCATTTAACTCCAAGAACTGATCAGTAATTCTCCCCTCTAGCTGTTCCACACTTCCTGTTGAATTTGTTTTGAGAAACTGGTGTTAGATCAAGATTAAAAATTATACCTGATAAGTTTAAATATTCTTATTACCTGTTTGCTGAATATTGTATGGATATTATAGGGAGAAGTTGCCCACTTATCACATCTGGGAGTTGAATGGCTGGGACACTTTCTCACATTAGCTGCTATATCTTTTTACAGGGGCTGTATTACAACCTTGAGCTTTTCCGTGTGCGAGAGCGGCAGATTCCAGTTGATGTTGTGGAAATGAAAGGTAGGTTAAAACTTAAAGCAAATCTTTTATGTCTGCACCAGCTTAGAAAATTCTGGTTCACTTTGACCTCTATACCTTAACATCAGTGTATGTATTCTCCCTACTGTTCACTATAAATTTCTGAAAGGGGTTGAAAAGAGAATTTTTATTTAAATTTGTGGAAGCAGTCAAGAGCTTCTTCAGTTGGTGATCATTTCCTTTATTCTCTCTACCTTAATGTGTGATTCAGGGTTGACATTGTAAGGAGAAATTAGATGCTAGTCATTCTTAAGGTCATAGTCAAAAGGCTGAAAAAGCACGTCTTGCTACTTACATTTACTTGACTAGTTGTCTTGAATTTGTTCTATTTACAGAGGCTGTTACTGCTTTTTCGTGGGAACCAGGCGGCAGTAAATTTGCCATAATCCATGGTGAGAGTCCCAGAATATCAGCCAGCTTTTACAACATGGAGAAACAAGGCAGTGTTTCACTTCTAAGTAAGTACACACTTGGTATTTCATTGTGAAAATCTGCAACTACTGTACTGTTGATTTTGGTCGGGAACTATGATTGATATCATCAAAAAGAATTGAAATATCATCATTAACAGAATTTGATATGATCTACTATTTATACCAATATGTCATCTTAAAAAGATCAATAATGTGAAAGTTGTAAGACCACATTATATAGTCTTTCTCGCATGTAATTATGATGACTTATATGATTTCGTTGCATTACAATCTATGTTTCGTGAAAATGTAAAGATTATTGATCATGTTGTCTGATTGTCCAGGTGAGAGTAGTTCTGAGAATGGCAGCCATTTTTTGTTGTTTTGATAGTTGTGACTGATTAGCACAAGTCACTATCAGAGTCAAATGAGGAGTTTTTATTGGTTGAGTGTTTATAACATGACTCCTCTGGTACAATAGCTTCAAATGAAAGTTATGACATTCCCATAGAACAAAGCAAATGATGAAATTCTCCTTATGCCAGTTCTGCTACTGAACTGAAGTGCTGAGAACTGGGAGAGAATCCAGCTGATGCTCAGAGCTGTGTCTAATTTCAAAAAGGATAATGATTCCTTATGAGGTACATGCATTTATTGCTTGTGTTGAAAATTCTTTTCTATTTTTTCTTTTCTTTTTTTGCATACAGAAACATTTGATAAGAAGCAAGTAAACAGTATATTTTGGTCACCAAATGGACAATTTTGTATTCTTGCTGGTCTTAGAAAGTAAGTACTATATGGCTTATACCTGGAAGAACCCTTTGAGGGGTTTGTGGGAGTTATTTACACTTTTAGGGATGGGTAGGGGTGATTGACACCTTTGGGGGTGGGTGGAAGTTATTAAAACCTTTGGAGGTGGGTGGGGATGATTGACAAGCTTCTTTTATCCTTGCCACTTTCAGAATGAAGTGACTTTTGTCCAATCTATTTTGTATCTGGAACACAGATAGGCAAATAGAATTTTTATGTTTTCTGAAAGTTTGCTGTATTATACTCGAGTTTATTTTCAAATTGTTGTGTTCAAAATCTTACAAATTTCAGACTAAAAATGGGGTCAAAACCTTACTATCTGGAGCCCATGAATCTACATAAGACTAAATAGAGGAATACCTTGGTGGGTGGAAGGTTACAAAACGGTTAGAAGCCAGTACTTTTGATGGAAGGGTGTCTTGAACTTTCATGGGCAGATAACTCATAGGGCATTCTAAGGACATATCAAGGATGTTTCATGCAGAGGAACTGATTACTGAGTAAACTTACATACACTGACCTCAAGGAGCAAAATGCATCATGTGCCCAGTGCACACCCTCCGTACACATTACTCTGCTAGTGGACCTCAGTTCTGAAATTGCATTGTCAAACTTGTTTAATTCTTGTTATCCTCAGCATGAACGGTGTTTTAGAATTTTATGACACTTCTGATGTAGTCTGCATGAACCAGGCAGAGCACTTTATGGCCACTGATGTTGAATGGGATCCTACTGGCAGATATGTGGCCACATCAGTCAGCTGGTGGGCTCACAAGGTAAGCATAACACTCCACTTTGAATGTGCATCAGTGCAAAGCTTCTTCAATGGAGAACACAAAGTTTCTCAAGACCCTAAGACCTGAAATCCTAGTTTAACTTCACTAAGAAAACCTGTGCGTTGTGTAATCAGGATGAGACTCAACAGTAAAACAGCAAGACAACCTCCTAAGTAAATAACACCACTTACACTGATTAGTTGTGTTGGTGGTTTTGTTTTCAATAGGAGGAATATAAATGTAAGCGTGGTCTTCAGTGCCAGCTTTGCGAAGTAGGCTGACACTTATGTTAAGGTTTCCAACACAATTGAACAGTCAGAGCGACTGTGTCATCTTTTTTTTCATTTGATACTGTTAGATTTTTTAGTGAATATGTGATGCAAGAGAGTTTGTAAATTAATTTTCTGATTTTTTTAGTTGTCTAAGAAAAATTATAATGTTGTTCAGTACAAAGGTTTTTACAAAGTTTTCGCCTCCATAAGATCCTTAGTTTTAGGAAGGTGATAGAGCAGTTTTTAGATGACTTTCGAAGAACGAAAACCAAAGTAATTACAATAGCCAATGAGAGCGAGGGTAGACATCATTGACAGCCAGTGAGAACGCAAAGTAAAAGCTGGCAAAGTGCATGAAACGCAGGTGATCAAATAACGGTTGGTTTAAATCTGATCTGTTGAGAAGGTGCTGCAAGATTTTTGGGCCAATCAATCAAAGAGCAAAGTTATGCAAAACCAAAGCAGTCATGGAGTATTTTCGACACTAGGCTGCGCCATTCTTCTGTCACTGACACAAGTCTACCATAATCATCGAAAAGGTGTCGAATTTATGAAGCTCTGATTAATTAGTGCTTCGAATGTTCTGCCATTGTGCTGCAACAGACTTGAAGCAGTTGGGCCATTTTGTTGTAATTTGGGTGATATACATTTTTCACTTGTGATTTAAAATTTGAAAAAGAGCTGTTCTGCACTGTGTCGTTGCAAGGTGTCCGTATTTGTTATCGTTGTATGTAATGTTTTGCCATTTGTATCTTCCCTGTAGGTAGATAATGGTTACTATATCTGGTCATTCCAAGGCAAGCTTCTTCAACGTCACGCTTTAGATCAGTTTTGTCAACTTCTGTGGAGGCCCAGACCTCCTAGTCTGCTCTCAGAGGACGATATGAAGGTAGAAGGGCCTGGGGGCCAATCTTTATACCTTGTATTTGTACCGAAAACTTTGTTGCCTTCATGTAAAAGTAAACTTTTTAGGGTCCATTTTCTGAATAAGCTAGAACAAAGACATAGACTCTGTTCCTTGTTGAAAGTCTTCTCGTGTCCCCTTGAGCCGCAATCCTTTTGGTTAGCGCCATGGATCAAGGGCTCAGGCGGAGTTCTTATTTTCCTGGCTTTTGATTGGCCGATAGTTTCAAAACTGATGTCCTTAAGTTTTTCCTAAGTAATTACCAATAGGTTGATTTTTTTTTGGTGACACACGAATTATTTTCTCTTGCAGAATATCAAGAAAGACATCAAGAAGTTCCAGCGCATGTTTGAGATCAAGGATCGAATGAGCCAGTCACGAGCTTCTAAGGTGAGGAACAGCTTCTGTGATCGGTGACGGATTGCTCTTATTCATACATACATCATTCAGTTTGTGTTTATTTTTTCCCTCTGACATGTAGCCTATTTCAGGCCCTCAATTGTGTTTCAGGGTTCTGCTTCTTTAGCGACTGTGTGTTGTGTTTGCCTTCTGCTATCCTTTTGTCATCCTTTTTCCTAAGGCTCTTGAGTTTCTTTCGCTTTTGGAACAGTGTTGAAGGAAAGGAAACTGATATTTATTAGCTCACAAAAAGTATAGCCAATTATTAATTAAACAAATACATAAGGTGCAGGTACTCTCGCGCCGCTAATAGCAGAAAAGGCTAATCGAGGCGGTGAAGAGATGATATTCATTTTCAGAAAGGAAAGTTAAAAAGAGAAAAGATTACCGAAACTAGATACTCAGCGAACAATCATTTACAGTTAATATAAAAGAAAATGGATTAAAAACAAACTAAAATTTTATTGCTTATTTGCTCAATCTTCTTACCGAGTTTGGATTTGTCAAGAAATTTAATACAGTACAAAAAAAGCGTTCCATTTCGATACACAAATAATTTTTGCAAACTATTTCTGCATTCGTGTTCAATAACTGCGAATCACTATTACTCAAGTTACCATAGTCAAAAAATTTCTAAAGACAGAAACCTCCTTCTTGGCATCGCTGCATGACATCTCAATGTCGGTTGCAAACGGTGTATGTGTGGAGGAAGAGTAGAACGCGAGGTTCGTCTTCGGGGCTAATGCTGCGGGATGCCGCGTGATGCTTAAGCCCATCCTTAATTCCCCGCGACAGGTTTTAAGATTTTTTGCTAAATGCATCCTAACCTTCCCACCCCTCTCCCAGCTACGCCCTTCAACCCTTAGATAAATTTCTTGTGCTTCAATTAAACTCATCGCGTCATCTTTGCTTGTTTTCTTCCAGGAGTTAATTGAAAGGCGGCGGCGAAAGATGAAAGACTTTCAGGGCTACAGGCAAAAGAAAAACAACGAGTTTGCACAGCAGAAGGCGCAGCGCTTGGAGTTGCGCAACGGTAAGGAACAGATGAGGACCTTAAGATTGACAAACCCTGCGGAATTCATACAGCTTTTCCTGGGTACAACCTTTCCCGCTTGAGTGTTCCTGGGAAAGACGCTTTGTTCTCACAGTGCTTCTCTTCACTCGAGAAGCTCGACGTATTCCTTGCCCAAGGTTGACTGCGATGGCTTATTATCCCACAATTATTAGAATTGACAAGATTGAAAAAAATTTCTTATGACGGGCTTAAAATAATGTGGGCTAAACTGTTCGTGATTCTCGAACCGCAGTGTTGCTGCTCTAAGTTGTATCAGACCGCTGACGCCGATTTTTTTTTGTCTCCATTGTAGGTATTGATACAGACGAGATTGATAGTAACGCAGAAGAGTTTGAAGATGAGTCAGTGGAATTCTTTATTAAAGAGGAGATTACCGAAGTGGAAGAGTAACCCCTCAGCCGAGTTCATCCGTCGATTTCCCACGAGTGAGAATAGCGAGCGATTTTTTTCTTATTGTCACAAGTGATAAAGATAACCTAAGAGTTCGAATTGATCTGGAATATTTCAGGCTCAGTTGCGGCCGATAAAGCTGGTGCCTTGTTTAAATAAGATAAACAGGCAATTTTCATTATATTATATTCGAATTATTTTCAATATTACCTTCGTAGCGTGTAGAGTGCTTTACCCTTATTATTGTCTCAAACTGCTCATTTATTGGCCAATTGCACTTTGATTTACCGGTAAATTGTAAGTTTTATCTGTAGCTGTAGAAATGTCCACTAAGTGTTGTACTTTCTTGCCGAAAAGAGAGTTTCTTTTGCAGATTTTACATTGTGTCGTGGAACTTACAATTTTCAACGTGAATCGTAATTTCACCTTTGCTTGTAGGGAATTAAAATGGAATATTATGCGTTCAATTTTGTCTTGATTTTTGTGTCGCTTTTGATGACCGTCAACTCTCAAGATGCTAGAGGTAGCTCTCATACCCACTATCCACACGACGAAATATGAGAAGATAGAAAAAAAGGAAAAAACTAAAAAAAAAACTTTGTTAGTAGCTCAGAGTGTTTTAAGCGTGGATAACGGCATCGAGCATTTCTTGTTGAGTGTTGAAATTAATTTGCGATATCGATAGTTTTGCGTAACCTTGATTGGTGACGAAAACTCGCCTCCATTCACGCAACCAATCAAAGGGAAAAACCAGAGTAACGGCTTCATGGACACAATCATTTTCCCGCGCTTGACGAAGTTCACGGGTTTACTTAGAATTCTCACTGGCTCCTTGTGGCCTTATTCTGATTGGCTGTGGTTATGTTCTTGTGACAGTTGATGCACATGCGCTCTATAAATTGGATACTCAATCAACTATCGCTATCAGTCGGTTAACGGTTAAAAACAATATGCCACCCAACGAAACGTTTCCAGATGATAGTAAACTACCTAAAAGAGAGCGGTTCCCACTCTGCGAATTACAGTCTCTGAATGGCATACTTGAAGATGGAAAGGTAAAAGGAAACTCAGTTTCAGATTAAATCATTGCGTTTAGGAGTTGTTTTATGTCTCACTCTCTATTATTGCACTAACACAAGAGACTGAAACGCACCTTTGAAGTTCACCATCTTCCATAACTCACTGATACAATTGACAGAACTTTACCTCCTGACAAAAACGGTTGTGGACAGAGTGATCAGTTTGTGCAACGGACGTTTTTCTATTTGTGACGTAACAGAGGAGTACAAACGCATGCACGTGCACGCATGGTTTTACTTGCACGAGCGCTTTCTCGCTCGTGCCGCGGGGCGAATGAGAGCTTGCTCATAGGCTACGATAGTGGCCATACAGTTAATAATAATAATAATAATAATAATAATAATAATAATAATAATAATAATAATAATAATAATAATAATAATAATGACTTTATTGGATAACACAATTACCGGTAGAACCTGTAGTTCTCATTGTGATCAACTAAAACTTCAAATTCAAATAGCAAAAATACGAAGTAAAAATACAGCTAAAATTAAAATTAAAAATTAGAATTAAAAATTAAAAATTAATTTAAAACTTCTGCTTATAGTAAAATTATCAACTCTGGAGTTCCGATCTATATATTTCTTATATAGTTGATTTTTAAATTTACAAAGGGAAGTGAGACCCCTAGTGGCACCGTCTAGGTTGTTCCATAATCTAGTGCCACTTGCAAGGAATGAACGTTTAAAGGGAATATTGTTGTCGAATGAGAAACATCCCTTAACATCCTGTGATAACTTCATTAATTTTTATCACCTACCTGTTTGAATATGCGCATACACATACACAGTTTATTTCTATCTTCGTTACATCAACTGCACCACTCCACGTATCTCTACAGCTGCATGTACTTACGTTTTCTTCTCTTGTCTTCCTTTTTTTTCAAATAAAATTCGCCGAAAAGGAAAACGTAACCATCAGAAAAAAAACGTACGCTCGGACGAAGGGCAAACGCTCGAAACATCACGGCTTTAGAAACTCTTTACGATGACAATTTACATTATTAACTCAGAAACTCAATTGAATAAACTGAATTATCTCGTTTTTCTCCCCATCGACGTAGCGCCATAGTTTCTTTAAAACTGACAACCCCTTTGTTCATTTACCGAAAATACCGCCGAACTGACAAACAAATGTAAATTTCATCAAATATTCAGTTTTTTCTGACATAACTCTACAGAGAAAAGATTGAATACTTACCGGCGGGAATCGTATGAATCGATGGACCATCTCTATCTAATTTCCCTTTGTTTTCAATTTTATTAGACTCATGTGGTCGCAGGTGCAATATTGAAGCTTGACGTACAGATAAATAATTTATCTAGAGCGTCAATATCAATGTTGCCATGAACACCATTAAGGAAGAAAGTTTAATTTTAGGCCTGTAGAGACGGTTATGTGTAATTTTCTGAGTTCTCTACAAACTTTTGGTCGTTCCGAGGCAGTGCACCTGTGGACAAATACAAAATAAACGCGAGGATTTCTTAATAACATTATCAGCCTTGTTGGAAAATATTAAAATAAGAGGTGAACGACCGCGGAGTTCCTACAGAATGACAGCAAAGTCGAGAGACGCGGAGGAATATGTTCGAAAAGTCAACAGACTTTATGACACCTATTTAGAAAGGGAATTACGACATCTGGAAGAGGAAAGGCGATTTTACCTCAAGACTTTTCGAGCAGAGTTCAGAGAGGCAAAGGAAAAGCACGATATAATTACCAGCAAAGCCAAGGAGTTAAGGAAATTAAGAGGTTTGAAAATGTCTGTTGAACGTACGAAGGAAAGGACAAACTCTTTCTTCGTCACTCAGTCCGCAACCGGGAAGTATTTCTGAAAGCCGGAGTGCAGAGTAAATATTTGAATCATAGACGAGAACTATCGGAATTACTGCTTTAAAGGGTTTATTTACAATTTCCAAGAGTTTTTAAAACTCTAAAGCCACGAAGGATTGTATCTAAATTAGTTAATGGCTTGTAGCCAGAAGAAAACATTATTAAAGATAGTAATTAGACAGTAATTAAAAGAGTGATTTGTCGATAAAACGTGACAAACCGTAACAGTTTGTTGTGTGCCGTTTGATATTTCTGTAAAACAGTAAACTTCAATATAGCGTGTCTCAAATTCTGAGAGAGAAAAGATGTGATCCCTCTTGTAGCTAAGATTACAACAATGAGGAGCTAAATAATACATTATCTATGAAAATAATGTGCTAAATAATTTCATGATACAGGGAACGCAGTGTTATCAGAGAACCGCATTACCCAGCTTACCATGAAGTTAAGATGACAGTTTGAAAAATGAGGTTCAACTGAAGAGATACACAGCTTATGTAAGCCAATAACAAAAAGTTTTTGAGGAGGATTAAAAACAATTTAATTCAGTACTCTATTGATCTGTCCAGGAAGTGGTTCACAGATACTAACACAGTAAGTAAATAACTCACTGAAAAAAAGGTTCTTGATTAGGTGCCCTATTCTCATACTATTCCATAATGCTCTGGAACTGCATGTACATCATGATTTCTGAATTGTGAATAACTTTGTCTTTTTTAGCAAGTTCCTACAGAATTTGCATTCTATTCAAGTCTACTTCCTCTTTGTCTGCACATGTTATTTCTTAGACAAATGTTGCTATTTTTGTATTCTATTTTTATCATTCACCTCCCATTCCCTTTTCATTATTTTTCATCACAGACTATTTTCATCCCCTTTCACTGAAGACATGTTCACCAAAGAAAGCCTTGTGTAACTTCTGACTGAATTCTTAATTCTCCTTCCAAATCTTCTTGTATCCTCATGTGAAACAGAAGGATGACTAGATATTGCTTTAAAGACACTTGATAATTCTGCACCCCTTCCTTAGACTCTTTAAAACACCTTTGCTTTCTCCCTAATTAATATCTAAAACAACTAAAATCCATGCCTCAGTTGTTCGAAAGTTGGATAATGCTATTGGTATCCACTGGATAAAACTCTATCCAGTGAATAATGCTATACAATTTGGTATCACTTATCCGTTGGATTGCAATTTATCCATTGGATAGAGTTATCCGCCTTTTACACAACTGGGCCTGGAACATTATAGATTCAGTCAAGACTGAAGTTCACAGGCTCCATTGATTCAATGTTGAAGATCATTACAGGCATCACTGCACCCACTGCATCCTCAAGTTAAGAGCTAACTTAGAGTAGAGGACCAAAGAGTCTCTTGAGAAACGCATATCAATTTATGTCTGATACTTGAAGTGTCCCTTGACGTTGAATCTCCACCAACTGATCTTTAATAGCTTTTGTTCTGCAGCGCAATAACTCAAAATCCTACAAAGAGAGAAACAGTACCTTACACACTGCACAGGACTCTTCATGTCAGTTAGACTGCTGACAAAAATTAAAACATGACACAGAAAGGAGATAACAGCTTGCTAGGCCTGATAGCTCCAAGGAGTCAAAGAAAAACTGAACAAGTTGAATGTTTTAGGCAATAACAAAGATAATTTTCAATTAAAAAACACATTTGGTCAACTTGGGACATTGCAGGCTACAAAGTTGAAGTAAAGTTTGAACTTAGTAGTAACTAAAGTATGATTTCAAAACTGAAAAGGTTGATAAAAATTTAAGGATAAAGCTTGTAAATTTTTGGCATCAAAATTACTATCCTGCGCATTTATTTTATTATCAAACAACTTAGACTGATAAGTTGTTACCTTTTCAGCTCCATAAGTAGATCCTTCATGTGGTTGGCCGGTGGCAACTTGGGTCAGGTAACCAATCTGTTCAGTTAGGCCTTTTTCTACACCCTTATTATTGAAATACAAAAACAAATTAGTTCTTCCAGCAACCTTACTGAAATAGATTCCTTTAGGAGTTACTATAACCACCAAGTATAAAATCTCTTTGAGCAACATTGTCTCTTTTCATCTCCTGATTCCAAAAGAATCATAAAAGGGAAATCAATTATCTCACCTATCACCCATGCTCTGTGTTTATACTGGTAAAGAGAGCCCTGTTTTCCTGTCATGATATGCGACAGAGAGGCAGATTTCCTTGAAGGCCTCAAGCCTTTAAAGACTTTACAATGACATCCATTAACTTTAAAGTATTTGTGAATGTGTAGACACATTTGCAAGCATCTGTTAAAATCCCCCACCCCTCTCCTACCATGTAAAATTCTCCACCTCTATTGCAACCATGCAAATAAAACTCCCCACCGCATCCCCCAAGTCAAAATACCAGTTGACTATTTGATCAATGCTGATCAATGTCCATGATATTGAAAAATGATGCTGTTCATGGAACTAATAGAGTAGTTTCCAATTGGGTGTCAAAAGACCTAAATTAAAGCCATCACAAAGGCCAATCGAAACAAAGATTAACGTCATCATAA